AACAGTCGGCTGTGTTGTTGGAGGGCAGCTCTCCATCCCGCTTCCTCCCTCTCACAGATGCCCGAGTGTAGGGAGGTGAAGTCTTTCCATCGAGAATGCAGGACGACTGGTTAGAAGGCCCTCCTCTCATCCAATGGGCCTGGACCAGGGCGGTGCAGTGTGGATGGGGACAGTGGGTTAGCGCCTTCCCCAGCCCTGGTTTGTTCCCAGTGTCCTCGGCACTCCCCGGGGGTCACTCTGGGCCAGTTTGCAGGGCCCATCAGATCCACTAGAGCCTCACCCTTCCCAAGGCTGAGGGGCCCCAGCGACATAGTCTCCTTTGTTCTCTGTGACTCCACCAGCCAGTTCCTGCGGTGACCCTTGATATTGCCTATCACATCTGGGGGATTAAAAACGAGTTTGGACGGGTTGCCTCGGTCCCCCATCACCACATACCTGCGTGGGCTCCGCAGCCAGCAGCCACCTCTCGTGTCCTTGTTCTGCCTGTCCTGGGAGGGGTCTCTTGCCCAGTACACAGGTCTGTGGATGTCACAGTGGGACCCAGAGGCCTGTCGTGTGTCCATATGTCTATTAGGCACACATTTCTGATGTATAAATGTGGCTTGTTTCGAAGCTCTGAGAGACTTGCGTGCATCCCTTCTTTTCTTCCCTCCCTTCCAGTCTCCCTCGTAGTCATTCATTTATGCATCCATTTGTGCATTCATGCATTTATTCAGCATACATTCCTTCTGCGTGTCACTGTATTCCAGGCACTGAGGCTGACAGTCTTTCTAGGCCAGTACCTTGGTCCCTGTACCAGTGGGATGGACAGGCTGCATGCCCAGATAATCATGGGGGGGAAGTGATTGGCGCATCGAGAGGACGGGTCACATGTTATGGGACCCAGGGGAGGGAGGGCTGCTTTGGGCTGGGAGTGGAAGCAAAGGACTCGTGGATAAGGTGCGCCCTGCTGCTAGGTCTGGAAGGAAGGGAGAATTGACCATGGAGATACAGAAGTGGGGTGGAGTGGGTGAGGGCGTCCCAGGCGGCGGGGCGAGTGGACCAAAGGCAAGAAGTCAAGACAGCCCAGAGCAGGCTGAGTAAGGGGAGTGCTGGCCAAACCTGGCCTCTGCCTGTTTGGATAAATTTTTATGGGGACACCACCACACCCTACCGTTTCCACATTGTCCATGAATCGTTACCGTCCAGCCATCTGCAGAAAACGTTTGTCTGCTCCTGACCTGGAGGGACTGCAGGTGGCGGGTTTGGGGGAGAGCACAGAGTGGGGGTGGGGGATGGGAACCAAGCCTGATGGGCAGGTCGAGGTGGTCAGTGTTGAGAGGCCACTGAAGGCTTTTGAGCAGGGAGTGTGAGATGGGAAGACAGAGACTGTGATTTGAGAAGAGAACTGATGCTGGTGGGGACTGGCTGTCCCGGAGAGAGACTGGGGGGCTGTTAGAGACCTTGGCGATGGGTGAAAAAGGCGGGGCTGAGCTAGGGGAGTGGCGAGGCCTGGAGCGGGGAGGAGGTGTGAGTTATTGGGAGTGAGTGTGTGCAGGAGGGAGGTGGCCAAGGGCCCCGAGATTTGGGAATGGGACCAGGGACATAAATAGGGACATAGGAGAGAGCCAGCCAACTCCAGCCAGCAGTTTTCCCATAGAGACGACACTGGACTTGGTCCTAGCACACGGGCCAGACCTGCGGACAGAGGTGGGCAAGGACGAGGAGGAAGAGGATAATTTCCTCCCAACTTCCTGGGCAAAGGGCCCCTCTGGGAGAAGTTTCCAGAAGGACGAACTTGCCATTGCTGCTGTTTTCCCTCTGTGTCTGTGTCCCTTCTCCAGGTTAGGTCCCCTGGGTCCACCTGCAGCTCGTTCTCTCATGGTTCTGGTGGCACCACACAGTGTGGCTCAGCTCTTCCCACAAGGCCCTGTGCAGGCCTTACGTCAGGGCCCTGCCTCCTGCCCTGGCAGCGGCTCAGGCCTGTGCCCTTGGACACTGCAGACTCATAAACCCTGTGCTTGCCTCAGGCGGACATGAGACTCAGAGTAGGGCCGGGGCAGGGACTGAAACAGCCCACCTGTGTTCCTCTAGACTCCTTCTACATCAAGCGCAGAGGTGGGGCGGGGCATCAGGACCGCCTGCAGCCTGGGAGCGTGGCCTCAGGGCCGCCTGCAGCCTGGGGGCGTGGCCTCAGGGCAGCCTGCAGCCTGGTCTACATCAAGCGCAGAGGTGGGGCGGGGCATCAGGGCCGCCTGCAGCCTGGGGGATTCAGGGAAGGGTGCAGCCTCTCCTCTCCTATTTATTGAGCTGGTGTGGAGGTTACTGTGTAGCTGTGTATTTCTTTCACTGGGGTATAAACAGGGCTGAGATCATTCATCTTCCGCTCCCCTTTCAGCAGGGTCCCTTTCAGCAGGGAGTGGATGGGGAGAGTTTAATGGCCAGGGAGGGAGGCCAGGAAGGGTGGTGGAACTCCTTTCTTTCTGTGCCCCACTCCCCTCACATGTGCCACGTTCAGAAAAAGGGGAGCTGATGGGCAAACACCTGCACTGTTCTGTATGCCCAGGACCGGGTGAGTGGTCTTGGCTTTGCTGTCCGGGTGGTGACTGCAGCCTTCACTGTCTGCTCTGTTTTCTGGAAGTCCGGGGGTGCGCCTGGGGCAGACTTCTCCCCGTTTTTGCTCCCTGAGATGTTGGAGTAGAGAAGAGAGCTGGAGGCCCTAGGCTCCCCCTTCTAGCCCCCTTCCCAGGCCCTCCCCTCTTTTCTCATAGGCCCTGCCTTAGGAGGTCAAACTAAGCTTGGCTCAAGCTTGGTGCCTTGTGGAATTAAGGAGCGCTAATATTTGTGAGGAGCTTTGCTGTGCCATACTCGCTGTCTCATATTGTCACATGGGTCAGTGAGCTACATTTGTCTGACCCTGTTTTGTAAATGAAGAAACTGAGGCTCCAGTGCTCCAACAGACGAAGGGACTTGTCTCTGGTCATTGGCTGAACCAAGACTGGAGTTCAGGGCCCTGGCTTTGGGTCTTTCTTTCTTTGGGTTAAGGGGTGATCCCGTGGGGGTGGGCACCAAGGATTAGGACCCTTCAGTCTAAACAGGACAGACTAGTGGGGTCTGTGAGGACAAACATCTATATGCTAGATCTTGTAGCACCTGAAGGAATAACTTTAGGGCAGCCAGAGGGAGCCTACTGTGTCACCCGCATTTCGCACAGTCAGTGTGTGGCCCTCAGCCCTGGAGTCTGCAGGACTGCAATGTCGTTGGTGCAGGAAGACTTCTGTGAATGCTGCGGAAGATGTACCTGTGATCGGTCACTGGTGGGGCTTGGGGAAGGGTGCTATGCTAGGTCTTCATGGAAGCCAGTCCTTTCCTCCCCTAAAGTCCCCGTGGCCCCTGTCAGGGACCACGTCTGCACTGGATTCCCTTGGGGCTGGCCCAGGGCGGTGTGGCGCTGTTTGCACTTCGTCATTGTAATGTGGGTCACAGGAGAGGGTGAAGGGGTCTTCCTCCGCTGCTTCTCCTCCTCTCATGTTCCCTCCCCCTCCTCTGTGACCCTCCCCTTCCCCTGTTTCCTTCTTCCCCTTCCCTCCTCCCTCACCTCTCATCACTCTATTCCTTCCCTCCTCCCTGCTCCTTCCTCCCTTCCCCCTGCTTCCTCTCTCACCCTGTCTACCCCCCTCCCCTCCCCCTCTTCCCCCTTCCACCCTCCTCTTCCCTGCCCTGTGCTCCTCATCTCCTTGGGTGCTGCCTTACCCTCTTTACTTCTCTTTCTCTTATTTCCTCTCTTCCGCTTCTCTCTTCCTCCTCCTCTCCCCTCTCCTTTTCCTCTCTAATGACACCCCACCCCCCACCCATAGAGGAGCCCGTCAAGTCCTAAATCATTCCCAATTGCAAAATCCAGCCGCAGGCCTGGCTGCTCCAGTGTCCACACCAGAGTTCATCTCCTCACCCTGGCGGAGACCTTGGTGCTGGGGCTCCTGTGCTCTGCTGGCTTCTCTCTGTGGGGGGCGAGTGGGGTGCAGTATTCCAGAGCCAGCAGTGTTGAGGATCCTGAGCTCCCCAAAAGCTGGCATCTTGTCACAGAAAGTCCTATGGCCAGGCTTAGAGGTCATCTATCTAATTGAGTTGTTTTCTCAAACCTTATTTATTTTTAAGCAGTAGACTATTATCTTATTTATTTTTTTATTATATTGGGGTGACATGGGTTAATAAGATTATAAGTTTCAAGTTTACAATTCTATAATACATCATCTGCATATTGCATTGTGTGTTCACCACCCAAAGCCAAATCTCCTTCCATCACTATATATTTGACTCCATAGTAGACTATTTTTACAAACGACTTTGTACATAACTCAATAGACCCTCGGCTGTAAAACAAAAACAGAGCTGTGTTGGTTGGGTCAGGGGTGAGGACCTTGATCCTGGCTTTTGACTGCATAGGCTCCATATTTAGTGAGCACTGTGGGGAGACCAGGTGAGGACCAATGAAGGGGGGACACAGTCAGACAGAAGACAGTGGTGACAGCACAGTCTCTGAGGTGGGACCTGCGGGCCACTTCAGCAGCGGCCTCCTGAGGCCCTAGCTAGAGCTGCACTTGGTCCTGGGCAGTAGAATCTAGTCCTTGGGGTTGAAAGAGCCTGAGAACGCCTTTTTCCAGGGCCGCAGATTGGCGGCTCGGCTGGGCTGGATCTTAGCACACAGGGTCACCGGTGCTGTGGCCTTGAACAGGATCCTCGTGGGTCTGGTATCTAGTTCCATTCCGGCTGCAGCCATCATCCCTGCGGTCCTGTCTCCACCATCAGCAGGAGCTCTGTTCATGGCCGCCCCTCTGTGTGACAGCTAGTGCTTCGTTTAGCTGGCCAGATGCCTTGGGTAGGTTGCCTGCGATATCCAAGGGATTATTAATACTTCTAGTCAAGAGCAGTGATTTAGGCATACTTTCTTGAACTTCCTAGTTGCTTCTGTTAGCCAGAGATTCTCCATAGGTGCCTTAAACATCAAGCCATTTGAAGCCAGGATAGAAACACCGCATCCCCCACCTGGTTCCTATGAATCACCGTTATGATGATGATAACAAAGGACTGTTCTTCATGCACTGCCTTTGGTCCTGCATCCAAGTGGTCATGCCAGGTGTAGAGAGCCCTGGAGTCACCACCAAGCCAGCTTTCCTTTCTCATTCTTCACCTTGACCACAGACTCCCAGGTGCCACGATCTGTTCAGGTGGAATGGCCAACACTTGACGCTGCTGCCAAATGTCTGCCTAACATGCACCAGTGGCAGACATCAGTAATTCCCCGTGAGCCTAGATGAGGACTTATAGTCTTTCTGGGGCTGTCACTCAGATGCCATGCCTAACATGCACCAGTGGCAGACATCAGTAATTGCTCCCTTCCCCGTGAGCCTAGATGAGGACTTACGGTCTTTCTGGGGCTGTCACTCAGATGCTAGTTCTGATCTGTGGCATGCATGCTTTCACTCATTTATTCATTCATGCATGGATCAAGTAAAACATTTAGTAACCTGCTGTTCTAAGTAGACACTGCTCACTGCCAGGAAAAGAAGACATGGTTCTTGCCTTGCCCAGAGGAGCTCTGAGGATGGTAGAGACGCCAGTGAATGGCTTCTTACTAGATTATGCTGTAAGTTGGCAAGCAGAGTTAGAACTCTCTTCTTCAGGAGCCCAGAGGAGACGGGACCTGGTTGCTGAGGGTGTCAGGAAGGGGCAGGGTCTTCTGCCGCATGGGATGGAGCCAGTGCTCTTAGCATGTGCCCTGTGCTTCGTGAGGCCAACAGTGGATGGCAGGGACATGGAATGTTGGGTCTCATCAGTCAGGGGACAAAGCCCAGCCAGAGACCCAGCCACTGTGACCCATCCTTACTAGTGCTTTCTCTCCCACAGGAGCAGGGGATGAAGGTCAATAGCTCCAAAGAGTTAAGCATGTGCTTCACAGAGGTGAGTGGGGGCAGAGTGGGGAGTGCAGGAGACTGGCCACAGGGGGCTGTTTGCAGGTGAGCCTCGGACTCAGAGCCCTCAGGTCCCATTGCAGGCCATGCCAGATGAGCTCCTGGCCTGCCTAGACCTGGTGGGCACTCGCTCTGCTGGGGAGTGCGTGCAGAGGCTGCAGTCAGGGCCCTTGGCTGTCTCTTTGGGAGAGACACAAGTGGCTGCTCTGAGCGGAGGCCCTCCCCAGCCTTCCTGACTCTTTAAGACAAATGTATGGAGCACTCGCTCTGTGCTGGTTCTATGATCTCAAGGAGAGAGAGAGATGGAGAAAGACACCCCCTTCCTAGAAGGAGCTCCAGGACCCAAGTGTGTCTATGATCGCATGTCTGTGCCTTATCTGGGAAGACAGGCAGGGTCAGATTCCACGGGCGGAGGAGAGTGTAGCAGAGGTGTGCATGGGACTCTTCATGGAGGAGAGATTCAAACAAACTTAGGAACAGGAAGAACAGAGCTTCTCTCTCCTCTCATCTCGAGAAGCAGGTCCTTGCAGACCCCGGGAGCTTCTTCTCTTTGAGATCTTTTTGCCACCCCATCCTCCCTGGCCTGCATCTGCAGACCCTCTTCCTCACTGGGCAGTGTCCTCCAGATTGCCCTGGGGACTGCAGCCCTGCTTCCACGAGCCTGGAGGTGAGGGTAAGCCCAACTCCTTGGAAGTCTGGCTCCATCTCCAAGCTAGAGTGCCAAGGCCCATTGCCCTGGGTGGGCTGGGGGGTGGGGGAGGTGCACGAGGAGTCGAGCTCCCAGCTCCTTTTCTTTCCCTGCTCCCAGCCCTGCTCACTCACTTTTTTTTTTTTTTTTGGTCTTCCATGTTCTCTTTGCTTCTGTTTCTCCTTCTGCCGTGGCCTCAGCTCACGACCAACATCATCCCAGGGAGTAACAAGGTCATCAGACCTAACTCAGGCCCCTGCAGAGCCAGACCATCGGCCGCCTTGACTGCTGTCTCCCTCCTGATGTTGAAGCTGGCCTTGTAGACTCTGGGCACCACGTCTGGAGATTTCCAAAAGCTGTGTGGCTGAGAGCACCCGCCTGACGAAATGGACACACACACACACACACACACACACACACACGCACACACACCCCTTGCAAAAAAGTTTTTTTTCCCACCTTGTCTCTGAACCTGTCTGCTCCCAGGTTTCTTCTCTGGAAGTTTTTCTACACCAAACAGACAGCGGGCAGGCGGCCTGAGAGCTGCCCAGAGGTCCCCTGGCAAGGGAACCCCGGCGCCGAGGAAGGCACGAGGGTCTAGATATGCCCAGCACTTCCTCTGGTGATTTCCTCTCTGGACCTTGTTGCCGGAAGAGACCAAGATGGGACCCTTGCGGCCCAAGGGACTTGTGGCTGTGCCTGATGCTGTCTGGGGCAGAACAGTGGCTGCTGTTCTTCTCAGACTGCCCACTCCGGAGACCTGCTGTGGGTTGGCAGGGGGTGTCAGCGGGCAGAGCAGCGAGGCTGGCTCCTGGGGGCACCTCCGCCTGGCTTCAAGGGTGGTGTTTGTTTCGCCCCCGCTCCGTGGGCCAGGCAGGCCTGCATCTGCCCCGTGGAGTGCTGTGACACTGAGGTCCCCCCACCTACTATAGCACAGGGAGCTGGGCAGCTCCAGGGGCTTGGGCGCTCAGCCTACCTGGGAGACCCCCAGGGGCAGGGGGAGGAAAACTCTTCTGCCTCGGCAGGAATTTTGAAATTGAAGAGAAGTGGTTCTCTGTTGGCTCTTTTGGTTTCTCGTGGTTCATTTTGGTGGGTCTCCCTTTGGAGAGAGGGGCCGTGGAGAGGGGCAGACAAGACCGTGGTGGGATGTCCACTGCCCCACGCTCCGGTCTCTGCAGCTCTCTCTCCCCTCTTCCACTGTCTCCTTCCTCGTTTCTGAGATGTACGCCAACCGTATGTACACAACACGTTTTCCTTCTCAACATATATGTATATACACACCCATATACATATATCGTGTGGTTTCTCCTTTCTTTCCTTTTTTTAAGAAACAAAACTATCGAAGTAATACCCCAACAGATGAGCGAAATGTATTATTGTAAAGTTTATTTTTTTTATAACGTTGTCTATAACAGGATAAAAGGAGACCAACTCCCTGCGTCCCGGCCCGTCGGGCTGCGAGGCCGTGGAAGGGGCTCCTGATCGTATTCACGCTGAGCCCAGGCTCCAATAAACGTCCTAGGAAGCGGCTTGTCTTCTGCCTCACTCCGGTGTGCCTTCTCCCTGCTTGGTTCCTGGCCCGGTGCTGCGTCCTGGCTGCTTACCTGGGGCTCCCCCTGGGCCTTGGGGACAGTGTGTGTGTGTGCGCGTGCACACGTGTCTCCATCTGTCGTGTGCTCGGTGTGGGTGATGCAGCTCCCTTAGTAGACGTTTTACGCTTGGCGGGTCTGAGGGTTCCACTGTGCTAAGTCTGCTGGGCCAGTCACCTCTCTCCTCCCCCCGCCCTTCCCCATCAGTGCCAGTGCCCGTTGGTCCCAAACTGGAAGGGAATGGAAGTGGCCGTGGGGATGGAGGAGGGAGACACAGCTTGATATCACACCTCGGGTATGTTTTTATCTCACGGCCGCCCGAGTGACTCTGTTACACGGCCCTGTCAGTCACGTAGAAGAGGGCGGTGTCTTCCCACTGGGACTCATGGTTTATTCAAGGTATGTGACTGTGAAGACAGGGACCTGGCCTCTTGGGCCCCGCCAGGGAAGGAAGACGACTGTGGCCCACCGCTCCTCTCTTTCTCCATTTACTATCCAGCCTCCACCAGACGCTGGTCCTGCCATGTTGTCTCAGAGTTTCCCCAGGGAGCACCAGGAGGATGCCTGCCAGAGGAATGTGTGTGCGCATGCGCAGGCTCCCGGCCGTTCACATAGCAGGGGGTGGAGGGAAGACTCCCCGCGAGGGGTGTTCTCACTGTCGGTGTGGCCTTCAGGGCTGCACGTGAGCCCATCCTGTCACCACTGGGAGACGGGACACCATTTTCCACTCTCCCCAATTCTGGATCCCCCCAAATATTTCTCATTTCTGGTCACACTTCACCATGTCCATGGTGGTGGCCACTGTGATATACCGTGTTCCAGCCTCTGTGTAGAGGGTCGGTGAGCCAGCCAGTCCCCTTCCCCAGCCACCATTGACCTGACTGTGTGTTGAGGTGGCGGCAGAGGCCACTTGGGATCCAGGTTTTTTTGCAAACAGCAAAGTCTGGTTAACTTACGGCTTCGGGGAGAGGTGGCTCATGACAGCGGTGGGAAGTGGGAAGGTGGGACAGGCACCAAAGAACATCTGCAGGGCGAGACAGCAGGATCTACAGGGTCAGCATGTTGCTGCCTCGATGATGAATGACCACCTACCGTCGTCCGGCTGGCTGAACTAGGGCTCTGCGCCTACTTCCTGCCATTCTTGGGTGTGAGGCTATATCATGTCTGGCATTCCGAATGGGAAATAAGCCCTTGGATTGCATAGTGGGAGAGAGGAAATCTCCCAAGAGGAAGTGGAGGTGCCATGATGAAGGAGGAATGGATGCTGGGCAGCTTTACATTGCCTTAAAACATCTCCCCATTCACGCATCACATAGCTGAAATTTTACCATTAAGTATTCTTTCCTTTGATTGAGATGATACCTGTTCTCTGTGATCCTCTCAAAATGTGTCAATAAAACTGGGAAGAATAAAATGTTACTATCTTAATGATAATTAATGATTTGGATGAGTCTTAGTAAAATTAACACATCTGGGCCTAGACATTGAGATTGGACTTGAGGGACAGATAAGGGGAGAGAAACAGGAAAGGAATCAGAACATTGGTAGGGGCGGTTGGAGATAGATCTTAAATTATTTTCGAGTTCTTCTGGGGAGAGTCGCTGCCTGCACTGTAAGCCCTCCGTGCCTTTACCCGAGTCAGCAAAGTCTATGAAGTGAACTTTCTTTGCCGCCAGCTCCCTGGGGACTCCCGATCTGGGGCATGCATTGTTTGCAAGGCTGTGCTGTCCCACGTTTTCTAGACTCAAGTATCTCATCAAATCAGAATCACGTAGGAATGCTTCTCCCCTTGCTGGGGCAGCTTCCAGCCTGGGATGATTTTTGCTCAGCCCGGAAGCCAAACATCAGCTTCCCACCTGGCTTGTGCCCCTGCCATCCTCCTTTCAATGCTGCTAGGACCACATGGACCGAGCTAAGGGCTCGGTGGTGCCCCACGGAGGTGGGGGATCCAAGGAGGCCGGTTTAGATGCTTAGGGAACGTGGCATCCAGCGAGCCGTGCCCTGGCCCCGTGCTGACCTTACTCTGAGACCAGACACGGGGTCGTTTTCTCAGTTCCCTGCACCCCAGGCCCTGCTTTTATAACCTGCTTGTCAGCATGGGGTTCCCAGGTCTGAGCCTAAGCCTGTTCTCATGAGTCCTTCTCAGACATAAGACCTGACTTGGTCTTCAGGCCCTAGCTGGGCCCTGCTGTCTCCACCAGGCAATCCTGATGCCTGGCAGCTCCAGGCCTTCCAGAATGTCTGCCTCTCACCTACTACCTGGCTCCTGCCCGTGTCTCACCTGCTCACTGAGATGCCCACCCAGGAGCTCTGGTTAACCTCCCCAGTGCTGGTGAACTGCTGGTCCCTGGGCTCCCAGGGTCTGATAGTCCACCTTCAAGGGCTTACTTCATGTCAAAGGGCCATGTGTGTGTGTGTGTGTGTGTGTGTGTGTGTGTGTGTGTGTGTGTGCATGCATGCCTGTTTCTAGTTTCCCAACCCTGTCCCCCTGACTGCCAAATGCCTGTATGAGACAGACTTCACTCACATAAAGGCAACGCTCCTGTGTTGTCTGATGACTGGAGAAATTCTTTGCCAGCCTTTCCTAATTTTTGAAGGACTTTAAATTGGGCCTTTCCCCCAAGTCAGCTAGGTTGCCAAGGGGATAAACTGGTCATGTACTCTGTGATAATACAAGTGAATGTGTTCATAGCCTGTTGCCCATTCTTTTAAGTCTCAGTGGGGGTAGATATTTGTCTTTTAAAACTGGAGTAAAGTTTTTAGGAAGAGCCAGTCATTCGGAGACGGAAGTGGTAAATGAGGTTGGTAACATTCTTAGTGGTGGGTTTAAGCAGTGAAGAGGCTGATACCTAGTTATCTGTTCAACCTTGGTTACCTCACTTACGAAGTTATATTAGATGATGATAAAGACCTTTCTCAACTCTGAACAAGCTCTGGTGGCAGGGAGGGGTGTCAGGGGACCCGGGTTCAAACTCTGGCTTGACCATCCATCAGCTAGTGACACTAGCTAAGTCACCTAACTTCTCTGAGTCTCAGAAAGGTTGTTTGAGATTGGGGATCAACAAACTCTTTCTGTAAAAGGCCAGATAATTATTATCAGCCTTGTGGACCATGCCGTCTTGGCTGCTACTATCAACTTGGACATTACAGCCTGAAAGCCGTCACAGACCATATGATGGGGCCTGGCTGTGTTCTAATGACGCTCTGTTTACAAAAACAGGCCCAGGCTGAATCTGGCCCCCAGGCTGCAGTTTGCCACCCTTGCTCTAGATGATCTCTGAGACCACGCTCTCAATTCCAGGCAGTCTGACCACAGAGCTTCGGTGGCTGAGAGTGACGATGGGTGATGGGGTTGATAGTCGTTCTTAGGTTGGAGGAAGAGAGAGGGCAGGTCACCACTCTGATGAGCGAGGTGAACTCGCAGACGAATTGGGGGAAGGGGAAGCTGGGAGGAAGGGCCCTACCCTGGGCCAGGGGCGCACAGAGAGAAACCAGGCGGCCTGTGGCCACACACATACACGAGTATGGTCTGGAGCGCGGGGACCGCATATACTATTGTGCGGTTGTACTTTGCACAGGGACTTTAGGCCAGGAGGGAGAAGGAGGCTGAAACTCAGCTGCGCCCACATCGGGCCTTGGGGCATTGTTCCCTGGTCTGCACGAAGGGACTTGCATGTGCTAGAGCAGAACCTGTGGCCGAGAGCAAGGTAGGATTATTTAATGAGATGCATTATCAAAAATGATACTGCCCACTGATGTTACAGTACACCATATTGAGTTGTTTGCCAGAAGACACCTCCCCAAACCCAGATGCTCACATAGTAT